TTTTTTTTTTTTTTTTTTTAAACAATCTGTTTCGCCTAAATTTTGAAAGAAAAATATTTCAGTTTCAAGATATATTTTGAGTATAACCATGGATGCAAAATACAGAATATAGATCAGTTTTCTGTGAAATGCAAAGATATTTTGTTGGTAACAAAACAGTTTCAGTTCCCACTGACTTTATGGTCAAAACATATAATGGAATACAATAGGAACCGAAACTGCTTGGTTACCAACATTCTAAAAAATGGTTACCAACATTCTTAAACATTCTCCTATATCTACTTGGCGACATCAGTAGTGAGTAAACGGTGACATTTTTTCATTTTTAGGTGGAGTATCCCTTTAATGGTATACTGTGTTTGCAGAGAGATTTTGGTGACTCTTACTAATTGTGGTGAAGACGTTGGTAAAGCAGAAGTAGTCCACAGCGTTGAAAGAAAGGAGATGGTAGAGGAATTGTTCCTTCTCATCATCACAGCGCAGGAAAGCGTAGCGCTTATAGAGTTTCCTTCAAACAAATACAAACACATTAAGCCATACAGTACAAATCTAAACACAAAAGCTTTAAAGGAAACAGTTGAAAGTTAAGTGCATAAGCAAAGAACCTGAAAAAAATTTGTTCAAATGCATTTCAGGTCAGAAGAGGACACCACAAAGCATTCTTTACTGAGGATGAGCCACTTTACGGTTCAAGGCCCATTAATAATTTTAAAAAATCTTCATTTTTAATGATGACTTATTCTTTGCTCTGCTACATCTCTTGCATTTTAACTGTCTGATATCCGAGTGATCCGTCTACAGTACATCTGATTTATAACACTGCCCTCTATGTCACTACAAAGAACTACTCAATAGGTCTTACTTGGTGAGCTCATGGTCAGACAGCAGCTGCTTCAGGTGCCTGGACAACAGTTTCTTCTCCATGGAGAGACGCACCCATGCCCTGGCCTTCCCAACGTCTGTCTTGATCTCACTGATGTTCTGGATGTGCCTAAAGAATGACATACAGCGAATTACGGTCACGAGATATTGATAACAGGACTTCAAGTTCCACTAGAATTAAGTCAATGAGTTTCAGACTAAAATAAAGACTAAAAGAGTTGTCAGAAGCTTAATGGTGGTGACGATGAAGTCATGTGACTGTGGTGTAGTTCATATATAGTCTACTTTTAGCGTTGACTGTATTTAGGCTTCAAAATTCATAAAAGTTGTGTACATTTTTGAAGATTATCATGATGAACAAAACTTGTTAGAATCATAAACGTTTGTTGGGTGATGCTAACTTTATCACCTGCCAAGCAGATCTTAAGCCATAGTACAAATCTTTTCAAAAAGCTGCGTGATTTGAGATTCATTTTAACTCCATGAAATTCACTGAATATAGTCAATTTTTAGTATATTGTTATATATGAAATAAACTCAAAATCCTAACCCTAAATAAAATTAGTATTCAGGTGCATTCACATTAGCAAAATTTCAGAGAATTTGAGAGAAAGTTATCTATTGTCAATAGTAAATTGATATATGAAGCACAACTCATACAGAAGTCACTTTCAATCCAAGCACCATTCTGTTGGTCAGTGTGGCAAATATGCATGACCAACTTAAACCAGTTGCGAAAGCTGCCTGGGGAAATCTTTTTCTTTCTCATGGAATTCCCTATTGCATGTTTTCCAATTGAAAATACTGTATTTCTTCCAAGAAGTTTGCCTAATGACAGTAAATGTGATTGCACTCTATAAGAATCAAAAGAGCTCTTGCTGAGATACGGCCGTATCCTGTCGTGCACAGGTTCAATGAACCCACTGCGTGCTTTCAGTGCAGTGGGAATTTGCCAGCGCTCTCAGGAGCCGTTTAGAAGAGAAAATGGGGGCAGGAGAAATGGTTCACAGACTCCCTGGAGCATCAGCCAGCCTGCTGTCATCGCTCGCAGCCACTATCATGCATGCCACGTCCAGACGCATTCTCTTCCACTCCATCTCTGGTACTCAACAAAGTCTGACCTTCCATTACATAAATGTATTATAGCGTTTAGTGCTGCCCTCCAGACTCTACAAACCTCAGATTTACAGACTGCTGAAGCCACATTTGAATGTGTAGACCTGCAGCCATAATATTAATGTACTAAACAATGCCATTGTCATGCTATAT